TTATCAGTAAAATACGGAAAATAAAAAAAAAAATTTCATTATGCTCTGGATACCGACTTTTGATCATAAAAAAGTTGTGTCCAACTTAGGTAAAATTTCATGAATGTTCGACAAAGTTATTGATGTCTGAAAAAAAAACTTTAACCTTGTACTGCATCTAAATATTAACTGTAAACAAAAACGAAGTCCATTTAGCTGACCGAGCGAGACCCTCATTGGTAGTCAAGGTCGTTAAACACCCCCTAGTAGTAAGTCCATTTGTCACTATAAACTGTTAACACAGAGATATGTCTCGCCTTTTTGCTATTTTGATAGTAAAATGCAAATGTTAAAATTAAAATAGCAATACTTTAACATGTTTATTATGCAAAATATTCAAAGTCAATGAACCATGACTGAAAATAAAGGGCAAAACAATATCCATGGAAATGAAGTGCCACTGCTTATACAACTGCATACCAAATATATTTAACCTACCACTAGTGGTTCCCCATTAACTGGTCTAATCACAAACTGATACGTGTAAACTAAACAAACGTTTCAAATTCAAAGTCAATAGACTATGATTGAGGGGAAGGGGCAACATAAGTTCCATGGAAATGAGATGTGCTAATGTTAGTACAACTGTATACCAAATATCGTTGACATAACACTAGTGGTTCCCCATAAACAAACTAATGCATGTTAACTGAGCAAAAGTTTCAAAGTCAATAGACCATGACTGAGGGGGGAAATGAGATGTGCCAATTCTCATACAACTGCATACCAAATATCATTTGCCTACCACTAGTGGTTCCTCATAAACTGACCTAATCACAAATTTATACATAGTTGACGCCGCCGCCGACGACGACGCAGGAAACAGCATACCTATGTCTCACTTTTTGACTCCGTAAAGGCGAGACAAAAATAAAAATAAATATTTATAAAATTTTGATCTGAATACTGTCTTAAATTTGGTCTTAAAAAGCTTCTGTCCAACTTCCGTAAAATTCTATGAAGGTCTGACAAAGTTATTGATAAAATCAAAAATAACTTTAACAACAGACTGAACCTAAATGTTGACGACGCCGACGGAATCTAGGATCGCTAAGCCACGATCTCGTTTTCGCGACATAAATGTCGCAGGCTCATCAAAAAAGCAAACCACATATCGAATGAATTGCTTAAAACAATAGAAAACTGAGTAGAATTCACAGTAGATTCAGACTTTGACAGAAAATGAACAAATATGTAATATGATACCATTTCATTAAAAAGTAAATTTCGTCACTTTTATTATTGAAGAAAGAATAACAAGGCTCGTGCGCTTTTAAGGTTTTTTTTCTTATTTGTTTAGATTAAATAATTTTTTCTCCTAAATTCATGTGTACGCCCGGGCGTTTTGACGTAAACGTAGCTACGCGCCTGAATATAGTAGGGTATGTTAATGGTAAACGAATTCATAAGTGTGAGTAGGATTTTTGTCGTTGAAAAAATTACCAACTCGTATTAAAAGCATATTATTTTGTAAAATGTATATAATCCTTTTTTTTTTTTACAGTCGACGGAATTCTTAAATTGAGGAGAGTATCTGACTGCTATACAAGGAATGCAGACTAGGCGTTTAAAGGGACATAACACAATATGGATAAAAGACAACTACATATATGTAAACAAATAATGGATATTGTTTAAATCAAATCGCAGTATTTGTTGTATGTTGCTCGGTGTTGAACGTACCTTGACCTATAATGGTTTACTTTTATAAATTGTAACTTGGATGGAGAGTGGTCTCATTGGCACTCATACCACATCTTCCTATATCTATTTATACAGACTGTGTAGGTTTGAAATTGAGAAGCAGAACTGTTTACATACTATTAAAACTATACATTGAGAAGAAAGGAATGTGACGCATTTTGACAATACGACAGCAACCCATAAGCACAAAAACACAGAAAAATATATAATTTTTAACGGTAAGTTTACTGGTAATGATAAGGCAAACAAAAGTAGGATATGTTTTTATTTACACGAATTCGTAATATTGAGTCAGATTTATTTTTATAGTTGAAAAAAACTACCAAATCGTATAAAAAGCATAACGTTCCGTAGAATGTTTATTGCTTTTTTTAACAGTTTACTTACTGCTTGAATTGATAGGAGAATCCGAATGGTATACTAGCAGAACTGGTATCATACTATAAAGACTATGCCGTCTGAATATCGGAAAACGAGGCTTGAGAGGTACTCGTCAATATAGCAATGACACAAGCATGACAAGAGTATGTTAAAACACCAGGAAAACAGTACACAGAACAAATAGAAAACTAAAGTCTGAGCAACACGACCCAACAGAAAAACCGGATGTTGATAGCAGTGCCCTGAAATATTAAGCAGATCCTGCACCACACGTGTCTTTTATGGGTGTTGTATAATAACGAAAAACGTAGGATATATTATTGTTCAAAGAATAAATTAATAATAAATCATACATTTTGAATGAACTGTTTTCTTGATCTTGTTTGGAAAAAAATCTGAATAAATTACTATGATACTGAATGATTGATTGATTGTTTGATTGATGTTCAACGCTACTTTCAGCACTATTTTGTAAGTTTTAATTGGGAGAGGAAGGCGGAATGCCCGGAGAGAACCACCGAACCTCGATAGGAAAATTTACAATCCTAGTCAACTAAGCACACCTGCCACGTGCGGGATTCGAAATCACAACCTCGGTGTGGACAGGCTAGTAATAAAGTAGTCCATAATACTGAATGAAAGCAATTAATTGTAACGCATAAAAGATAATTTGACGATGAACTAAAATGAAAAGTAAATATACGGTCATAATAGAAAAGATTTTTAAGCAACGACCACAAGTAGACTCATAAACGTCAACTATGAATATAATAAGATGTTGAGTATACGTCATCAAAATTTGGGGGCCTCGGTGGCCGAGTGGTTTAAGTACTACTGTACTACTGGACTACTGTAATCACTAGCCAGTCAACACTGAGGTTGTGAGTTCGAACCCCGCTCGTGCGGGTGCACTCGACTCCAATCTTAATTGACTAGGATTGTCAGTTTTCCTATCGAAGGTCGGTGGTTTTATCCAGGCCCTCCGGCTTCCTCCACCATAAAAACTGGCCGCCACGAAATAGCCAAAAGCGGTGCTTAAAAGTGGTGTTAAAACACCAAAAATCAAAATTCAAATTAAATCATAAAAATTGCAATTCAATGCTACAAAAAACAACTGGATGTGTCGGAACGACACGAATGGCCCCTCTCGCTAAAAAAAAGCTTGAAGCCATTTTTAGGAGTGAAAAAATGTACAAAATTTTCAAAGTCCAAAGCTCCTTATTTCAGCAAAAATTAATGGAGCGAAACCAAACGTAAACTCGATCTGTAACTCATCACATTAGACTCACATACTAAAAATCAGCTCAATATGTGGAGGCGTTTAGAAAAAAAGTCCGTATAATTGATATTTTCATGCAATTTTCAAAGTCCAAAGCCCGTATCTTCGGCTAAATTTAACGGAGCGGAACCAATCGTATACTTGATCTGTAACTCATCATATACTAAAAATCAACTCAATATGTGAAGGCGTTTAGAAAAAAATTCCGTATCACTGTTCGTTGCGGAATGATGAAATGACGAAATCACGGAAAGAAAGAATGATGGAATGACGGAATGACGGATAAGGGTAAAACTATATGGCCAAAAGTTGTAGAGAGCCATAAATAGACGTCTAGAGGTCAACGAACGGACATAAGCAATTGTACAAGTTGCAGACATTGATATTATTAATAATGTAATCTCAATCTCTGTATTTCTTAATATAATAATTATCTTTTCTTATCAATCCATAATTTGAAGACTTGGTGACGACTTGTTCTTTCTAGAACATTGACACATTAACAATACCCAAATGTTAAGCTTCTTTCTAGCTTAAATACACGGATATACTTCAAATTGTAATACTCAATTCACTTAATTATTATCACTATCAATGATTCGTGGCGAATTATATTGAAGTGGATATTTGTTAAATATGACTTTAAAGAATAACAACTTTAGAAGGAGATCGATCATTGATTGATTGTTTTTTTTTCTGCTTAACGTCCCGTGACAAAAAATTCATGCATGTACAGGACAAAATAAGATAACAATAAATACATTTGGTAGGAATCGATCGGAATGAAGGGCGGGGATTTGATTTGCCACGGTACAATAACGGATCAAATGGATATAGGGACAAAAACATTTTGCCTAGTAATTTTGCCTAGTAACAGAACACCTACGGATCCCCCAGCATTGTTGCAAGGATTCTTTAACTTGAAGAGGCATCGAATTTAATGTCGCCTTTCCGACCGTGCGTGACTGTGTTTATATATCCCACATAGTCGAATAGACGCACCCCTTTAGCAAGGGTTTTACTAGCGGAATAAGTCACAATCGGAAAAAGTTGGTTCGAATAAAAATAACTACGAGGTTCAGCCCAGAGGGTGTCTGACATTTTTAGATGTGCTTACGACTTTCATTGTGTCTCTTACTCCAAATATTGTTTGTCATTTTTTTTTCTTTAAATTAGAAATAACCGTATTATTAAATCTCAATCAGCCAAAATAATCGTAGTAGTATAAAAGTAAACATCCTCGTCCTTTGTCCCTGGTGGATAGCTGTCATCACGGAAAAAAAATCAGTTGCAAAAGTTTGATAAATCATACAAAATGAAGCCCCTTTACTGGCTAAGTTGTGGTTTTATTCTTTTTGTGACATATTTAAGTAAAGACCCGAGGGAATTACGCTCGTTTTATAGTGCATTTTTAAGGAAGTTATTTGGTATTTTGGTGGTTTTGTTGTTTTTACTGTTTTTTTGTGGGTGTTGTTTTGGCACCGACGTTTAACAAAATGAATCATTCTATCTAATGTGTTTATCATCATTCTGATTTTCTTATACGTTATAAATAAATAAAATACATTAAACACAAATAAAACAAATAACAGATGAAAACAGATTATCTTGTTTACTCTATAGAATGAAATATTTGGTGAAATAGATAATCCAATATTCATGAAAAAAGTGTATTTAAGTAGTAAAATTAAAATAAAAGAAAAAAAAACAATTTCGGGAAATAAAGCGTTTTGAGTTCCGGAATTCCACATTTTCCCACTGAATACACCAATGTGCTGCATTAGTTTTTACAATAACTATTTTTTAACAAAGTGGAACGTGACAAAATTCCCATCTGACCTTAGGATCGGTTGTATAACACCATGGGGATCCATCGTACGGAGGTCCAGGATCCCGGCAGTAGTTACTATGGAGATCATCAGAATTTGATGGTATATGTTTCCTATTTCTTTTTTGTGGATAATCACGATCCCATCTTTGACATGCACGACCAGTAACTGTACATGTAATCTTCCCTTTATACACCGCACCATAGGAACCGGTTGTATAACATTCATTTGCTGTGAAAAATAAATTATGCAATGTATATAAACAAATAATTTAATTTTGGATGTAACACGTCTTCTGATTGGCTGAAGGCTTTTGTCTATCAGCTCATAGACATAATTTTGTCATGTGACCGTAACGTCATCAACGTTTTTATCATGATTTACTCCTTTTTAGAATTCAATTATAAGGAATGACTGTAATGTTTTTTTCTGTCTATTCGAAATAACAGAAACAATTTGGTGCACACTTTTAAATAACCCGCGTAGCGGGTTATTCAGTGTGTACCACATTTTTTATGTTATTTCTTCATAGACAGAAAATATTACAGTCATTCCTCAAATAGACGTTTATTGTGTTGATTTTGAGATATTACACCTCTGTCTTATTATATTGTTAATTCATTAATATTTGATGTTGGTATTATTATGAATTCTTATTTTCTTTATCATGATTTGTCTACACCGCAGTCTTTGGTGACTGGTATAGATCCGAGTATTTCACGTAAATTTCATAGTGCATTGTAGAGGACGTTGTTTGTAATTTATTGTTGCTGATGTTAATTGCTGCTGATTTTGTCATTGTCGTTGCTGCTAACATTAATATTTTTTTTGTTGATTTTGCACTGATGTTTACATAATGAATCTCCTCTAGATATTGTTATTCAACTTAAGGTTTCGAACAACTAATTCGGACCGGTCAAAAAGTAGTACATATTTTAATAAAACAGTTCCTATGCAAAGCTTTTACTTTGTCAGTATATGTTGGTCATTTTGGTATCAAATGAAAGTTTAAGGACTTGGCATCACTGTAGAACTCTTGGTGAAAGTTAAAAGATATGAAATTTGAATAGGAAGGCATATTTGCGCTGTTGCTCAGATCAGAAGTATTTCCGCGAAAGTAAATCACCTTACAAGACTTACTCATCACTTTGGGAATAGCTGAAATTGTTTTTTTGTATCGTTAAAAACACTTGAAATCATAAACATGCCAGAAAATAACACAAAAGATATATTATAACGATTATTGGGCCTTTGCTGTCTCTTTTTCGTATATTACATACCTGATAAAGACGCATTGAACACGCTCCAGTAGTTTTGTCCTTGACAATACGACACCGGACAATGATCAAATGTATCAACATTCTGTTTAGTTAGTAACGTATAACGGACAGATGCTCTGCCATCTTTAGATTCAAACAGACATTCCATTCCATCTTTTAATTGAGGTGGTTGGTTACATCCTCCTTAGAAAGAAAACAAATTGCATTAAAAAAAAAATAATTGTACTTGTTTATATAGTTGCATACAATCTTTTGTTGTGGGAACACAAAAGATAAGAACATAAAAAAATCTTTTGTATGAAGGTGTGAGAAAAATATCAGATTACAATAACATAATCAATTTCCTGTATTTAAGTACTTTAATTAATTTGCTTACTTTGACAAAGTTGAACCAAATTGGCTTCTAAAAGCGAATTATTATTTCACTATATCACTTTCATTAATGGTTGAACAAAAAAAAATCACATTTAATTTTTTTTATATCTCTTAGCTACTGCTCCTTTAAAAAAAAGTAAACGCACAAGTTTATAAGTATTACATTATGACTTTTAAACGATGACTTTGATATATTCGACAGTTCTTTTAAATGAATGTTGAAATTTCTGAATTAAGTATCTATTATCTCCATAGGGATAAGACAACTTTTTTCTAGAACATTCAATAATCATCAAAATATGTAGTTGGATTGGGACTGTTCAATTTTACATACATGTACGGATGTACACAATATTAAATTCGATACTACTCTCAGTTTATCTATATAAAGAAGTATGGAAAACGACCTCAGAATTTTAAAATAAGTTTTATTGGGGGAAAAACTGTAACTTTTATTAAACAGAATTTGAGAACTCAACATTTCCCTTTTTGATATGTATCGGTTGGCTACTAAATGGTAAATATAAGAATCCACAATGAAATCATAACAAGAAATTTATTATTACTAACATATATATATATTTATTGTTGTTATAAGAAGAGAGACACATTTACAAGCGAAAATGCTATTATGGTTATTTGATCGTTCAACATGTACCATTGTAAATCGATCCTTATCTTGTTACAGGCGCTTGGGGCAATGCCTCCCTCCCTTTTAAAAAAAAAAGTGTTTTAAATTTCTATATCAATTTTTTCTTAGTACAGTATTTCATGTTATATTTGCTTATTTTATGTGTTCATGTTGTTCTTATCCTTAAACACACTACTAACGATAATTGTAGAGTGCAAGTATAGAAATTAAATTAAATGAAAACAATATTCAACGTTAAACGTACCCAAACAATGAGGGTTGGGGTTTTATTCAACAACTTGATCAAAAACGTCTAGTCAAACACTTTCAATAAGTCTCTTTATATATTTACAGCCTCCTTAAATCACACGACTGAGATCACTACAGGAAAAAGGTACTCAAAATAATACGTACATGCCGGATTGGACAATTCAGAAATATAAGCCAATCGTAATACTTTTAGTATTAAGATCACTTAGTCAAGGTTTTCTTTGTTTATAAAATTTCACCTTGTTTATTTCTTTGTTATTAATTCCTTTCTCTTACGTATCCTAGTTTCTAATAGGGTAATTTGTTGCTATTACTTTTTCAATCTATTAGCACGATGCTAGTAGTATTTAATTTATACGATTGAGGAAAAACAAACAAACAAACGACCAAACAAACAAACAAACATAACGAGATAGAACTAAAATAGACAAATTAAAAAATGAAAATTAATTCTCAGATAATGATTTATGCATTTTCATAAAAGCAAGTTTAAAGAGGTAGACTAAATCTCAAGTAATTCCGAATTCCACCACAAATCAAAATTGGAATCAATAATATAGCCAAGTGCTTTTATAGACACCAATAACTAATCAATCAATCTTGTAAACATGAACTTTTCCCTTTAAATAGAGCAAAAGTACCACAAACAGAACAGAAAAAGCAAAAAATATCGCACAAGATAAAATTAAGCAGAAAATAAACAATTACTTTAGGATTGTTTGATTGATTGATTGATTGATTGATTGATTGATTGATTGATGTTTAACACCAGTATCAGCTCTATTGGCTATATCGTGGCGGTCGGGTTTTATCGGCGGAAGAAGCCGGAGTGCTCGGAGAAAACCACCGACCTTCTATAAGACATTTAATAACCAATGGTCTGCATTTTTGCGTAACAATCATGGCCAGGACAAAATATAGTTATTTGTCTTGATAACAGAGAAACAATATATATTTGTAGATTTAGACATAATACTCGCATTTTCTGATTTTGGTACATGCTGTTATTTAAAAATATAAATGCAAGACAGCTTTTTTAATTAAAATAGCCACTTAATTGTTTGACTTTGGAAATTAATGTAATACTATACCACAAGACTATGTAAATATAAAAGTTACAGATAAAGAGAGGAGGAAGATTCCGAAGGATATTCAAACTAACAAGTCGAAGAAAAACTGACAACGCCATGACAAAAAATTAAAAAAAAGACGAAAATAGTCACAACAGTCTACAAAACAAAAAATAGAAAACTAAACACTGAGCACTATATTTTTAAAACCTTTTAGTCTATGTTAACGTACATAGGTGTACATGAAACATAAATCGAATAAAAAATAACTCAATGATATTTTGACGGTGCAACTAATAATACATAAGCTTTGATTCTAGAAATAATATCTTATAAAAATACAAAGATGTGTTATTATCGCCAATGAGACAACTCTCCACCAGAGACCAAATGACGTAGATGTATGCAACTATAGGTCACCGTGCAGAATTCAAAAATGGGCAAAGCCCGTACCGCTTATTACAATGTAAGCTACAAAAGGCCCCGAAATGAAAAGTGTAAAACAACTCAAACGCGAAGAAAAAACGGCCTGATTTGTGTACAAAACAATGGACGAAAAACAAATATGATATCCAATGTACAGCAACAATCGAGAACCACTGAATAACAGTCTCCTGACTTGGGACAGGCAAATAAAGAATTTGGCGGGGTTAGACATGTTTGCAGGCGAACAGCACTCATCTAATCTTGGACTGTGGTGTAACAGCACACTTTAGAAATAAAAACATAGTACAATTGGTTTCGTCATCTCTGTCAATGATAATTCAGTAAAACGTATATAAAATGTTTGTCCAAATGCGATAAGAAACAAAATTTAAAGGAACATTTCAATTTCGCAATACCTGCAACTTGGCATGTGTGCATTGTTTTCTGAGCAGCAGTGGATTGTGGCTGATAAAAAGTTGTCGTCGCTGGTGTAGAAAATTGCTTTATATCGATTGTAATTCCTTCACTTTCATTTATAGATTTGTTGGCCTGGTACTGCAAACTTTGACTTGATTCTGAAAAATAAATTCTGATATTATTTCATATAAAACCAATGTAGGATATACGTCAAGGAGACCGTAACCTAACGACAAAAATGAAAGAATAGAAAACATCTGGAGTAAAGGATGTTATCTGCAACAATGAAAGGTATTCAAATCGTTCTGAGGTGGTTATTTGCTATTTTACATTGTTATTGGAACATGTGGGCATCCTTGTGAATGATAATCACCCTAGTCAGAAAATTAATGTCTATATGTCTACGAGATTTCCAATAAATAATTTGCACTTGCACATCGATACAGGAATATATTTGTTGATCCATCCTAAATGTCTTACAAGGAAGATTTAAAAATGCATTCTAAATAAAACCAAAATTATCGGGGAATGACTTTTAGAATTCAGTCAATTCTAAGGTAATATCTGTATGTCAGTACAACAAAAGTACTAGCTTCCATGCCACCCGACAGTTCAAAATTGTACAGCTTGCAGTTTTAAAATAATTAATGATTAAAACGTTTAAATATTATCTAACTGACATCATTTATTTATCTAATAGACTGCGCAATTATTTTATTCAATTATATATAGCCTCAACCACCTTTAAGAAAGAAAAAGAAAAAAAAAAAAAAACACTAACATATTAAATTAGTTATAACGAAAAGCTATTGATATTTACCCTCCGTGAATACATTTTTTATCACACTCACCACAATTAATATTTCTATGACATCCCTTGAACAAAATAGTTCCAGCAACCAAACAAATAACAATTGAGATAAGTATACCAATAGCTAGACCTCCACAGAATCCCTTCCATACCGGTCTCTTGTACCACATTGACTCGGCTTCATTACTGATACTTCTGTGAACATTGCAGTCCTCGTATTGCACACTATGCACGAGCTTGTAATCCATTGTGTAGCAAGTTTTCGGGCGTTGGAAAAACAAATGTTCTAAATAACGCACTTTAACAAGATAAATATGATATACATGTATATTAAAGCGCTTTTCACCTTTCAAGTTGAAATTTCCGTTCACAGTTTAGTAAATGCAGAGTTAAATCTGTTTAACGTTAATATGAATACTTATAAAGAATTAATTTTAATGATGGCATAAATACATTTATCCCAAGTAGCATGCCTATTTTGTTTGTGTACATTTTTGTAAACTGAGAGAGAGAAAAAAGATAAGAGAGAGAGAGTTAATATTTTGTCTTTTTTGTAAATATTTTTAACTTGTGTGCTTATTTTTTTAGATCTTAGATTTGAATTTATCATTTTTTTCATAATGATATAAATATAATTTGACCATTAATCTAAATGAATATCACGGGAAAAAATTATGAATAAACAAAACGGTCTTCAGTATTAAAACGTAAGAGTGACATGGCTATCATGAGTGTTAACACTTCTGACAATACGGGTCAAGATACCGCCGATACTTATCCAAACATAATAGTCTACTTAAACATGTCAAAACTAAATACTAGTATTTTACCCTTGTTAAGCTTCCTAAGATGGTACAATATGCATATAATTCTCTCATTCGTCACAACTCGGCCGATTCCGTACCTTCATCTAAGGAGAGTAGCGGATTCAACCGAGGATTGCCGATTGATAATTCTCTATGTTTGATGTGTTTTATTAGTCACTATTAACAAAATAGACCTTTCTTTATTTTATATAGGTTTGTTAAATACTTTTTTGTTATGTCATCTGAAATAGCCACACGATCAGATCGTACCATATAATTTACATGACGAAGACGGGCATGAATACATGTAGCTAACAACACAGAAAACCAGGGCACATTTAACATGAACTATAGTTCAACTATGAAAATGAGAAAATACACTTTATGAATTTGGTGCCTTTTATGCAATTATCTTCATTAGGAATGCTCAAACCCAAAACACTGAACACCAAGAAATGGTAACAGGGTTATATGGTAAAAAATTGAAACAACACGTTTAATAATTTCATGCGTCCGAAGCGCTTTTCTGGATTTACCTTCATCAGGAACGCTCAAAGCCAAAAATTTGAAATCCGAGGGATGTATAAGTACCGAAACAGTTAAAGAGCTATATGACAAAAATACATAAAACAAATAGCCAAATTCATCTAAGGTCAACTTTGCCTGAGGGAGTTGAAACCTTAGTTTCTTTATAATTTCAAAATTTATCAACGGACAATTTTAGAAAGGTTTGTTATAAATCATGTCAGTACCGAAGTACTGACTACTGAGCTGATGATACCCTCGGGGACTGATATTCCACCAGCAGAGGTATCGACCCAGTGATGTAAAAGATTGAAAACAACACGTTTAATAATTTCATGCGTCCGAAGCGCTTTTCTGGTAAGTTATGAAGTCAGGGATTTCGTTACTCTAAATTAAATAAAATCTTCACCAAATTCTTTCACAGTTACGCAGATTGGGTTAGAAAGTTTTGCTGTACCTGTAGAATTCTTATCAAAAATGAGAAATCGCATCCTAATTTGTACAGTGATGATGTTTATAAGGCCCGTAAATTTGGAAACGATCCATGAAAACTCATTGATCATTTGAATAAACTTATTCTTAAAGGTTATCAATTTGATATATTAGTAAAACCTTCAAATATGCGTGTTATGACGTCTTTACATATATGTTGTTTGTTTGGGTTTTTTGTCACTGGGTTGCTGTCTCAACGATGTATATCTTTCCATACGTAATGCAGATATTTGCCATACACATATTACATGTAGTAGTTCATTTATATGTAAAACATGCCTTCAGATTACTTATAAATGTGATATATATCAGGATTTAAGCACACTGTACACATATTCTTGAGAGTACAATACTTACAATATGTGATACACATATTAAAATACTCTGAAAAGCACTCGTGAAGATCATGCGATTTACGCATATCGCTCGATATATATATGACATTTACTTGTATTGACCTTCATAGATACATCATGCATGGCACCTTTACTATGAAGCAAACCAGTAACACAAAAACCCAAAAGCTATATTCATGCTATATTTGCAGAGCAGTATATCCTTAATTCATGACTGGATGTCAAAAACTTTATAATAAATCAAAACGTAATTTTTTCTTTTAAACCATTTTTGCGTGTTGATGTATCAGTTTCTTAATGTTACAATGACAGAAATGTATGAGGCAATATTATACAATGCTTTTTTTATTGAAAATAAAACATGTACTTTTACAGCCGCAATACGGATGTTTCAGAAACGTCCGTAAAACGGATGTTTTAGAACGTCTGTAATACGGAAGATCTGTTTTACGGACGTGGTACTGTTTCTCCGAAAAAAGTCCGTGATACGGATGTTTTACGGACGTATTTCATAACTTCTATTTTACCTGTGTACTAGCAGTTACTGACATGCCAGCTCCAGACCTCAAATAAACTGATCGAAAGATTATGTCTTCATATGAAAATAAAGCATACTCCCTACCGTTAGGGGTTTTAGTATCATGCCATCCTACATGTGTGTAGTTAGCACTGAATATATACCCAAACTAACCATGTTACCAGTAAGACGACCAGGAGAAAACTATTAAATCTGTAAGACAACTTCGGAAATAATAACTGCAATTGCAGTCTCTGGAAGCTGCTTTTAAAAGACATTTTTCATGACGTCATTAGAGTTTTTAAATTAATACAATGTCAATTCCGATGCAATGACAATACAACTCTAAAATCTCAGATTAAACAGTTATATACTATATGTTTTGATTGAAAATGAAAAAAAAAAAACTATCAGCCATGCATTGAACAAAGAACGAGGATGTAAACAATTATCAATTTAAAGTCGTCCAGTGAAAAGTATTTCAAGGTTCCAAGTGATCATTTATCTTGTTTATGCTTGCATTCTTAATGAAACTTAACAACCTTGGAACATCTGCTAAGACAATTGTTAGTAATACAGACGTTAGAATGGCTACTCCAAACAATCCAATAGATTTTGATGAAGTGCGGGGATCCTCAGCTGATTGCAGTTTTCTTTTTGTTGATGATAATTGTTGTTTATCAATATATAAGTTCTTCTTTATATCTTCTATCATCTCAAGTATTTCTGTTGAGTTTTTAAAACTTCTGCAGTCATTTAATGTACATGTACATACTGATGTTGTGGTTGTCGTCGTCGCTGTTTGAAATAAAATGTACATTGTTTTCAATAAATAATATATTTGTTCAAAATTATATAAGCCACATTTGTACATTTTGTTTATAGTTATAAAGTGGTAATTATCATTTTAGTGTAATAAGCACACAGGCACTCGTCTCTGAAAAAAACCTGTTTACCTTTATATAACACAAGGTACCCTCTCGCATTTTTTAAAATGGCAATCGGTCCTGAATTTGAGCTTATTCCGAGATCGTCTATTTCACTAAATATTCTTGTCATGGCGTTAATCTGCATTTAATCATCTTTAAAATGGTGTATGACACGTCTACCTTTGTTGGGGAATGACAAAGTTGACATTGCAATGAATATTAATTATAAAAAAAAGTATTTCCAAAGAATTAAAAGGTTACGTATTGCATTTTATACTCATTTGTTATAAAACACACTTGTACACAAGGCTTCACACAAAAGACATGCACACACACAGTAGTTCCTATTAAAACAAAACATGAATAATATTGGATTATTGAAGCTACCTCAAGTTTAACTAAGTTTGTGGCCTTGATTTTTGAAAGAATAAAATTCTATAACCGTCCAAAGTGGGAGTTGTGGGAATAGCAGTGTTGACGACGGACGGACGGACGAACAACGATATACCATTATAGGTCCCATAAACAGGCGTATACAAAGTATGCGAAATATAACATATTTTTAGTAGAAGTAATAAGTATCATTTATCGAAAATTTTACCAGCGATTTATAAATCATGTATTTACCATAAAAGATAGTATACATTTGATTGGCTTTGTTTGTGTTGACATCCATTTGATGTTCTTGTTTCCGCAGTTGGTTTAATATTTTCGTATCGATACCTTTTACGTATTGAAATAGAAATACAATCAAGATTTTAAAAATCTATAGGTTTTGGTTTCCTTGACATATGGATACTGCCAATGAAAGATGTAGTATGAATGCTATGTCTGTAATATCGTAAATTCATTATTATTCGTAGGATACAAATTTTCGTGGATTTCGTGGGTACAATTAAACCACGAATTTAAATGTTCAACGAATAACACATTTTCTATAAGGTTGTATGCAGACTTTGGCAAATCCACGGATGTAAGTTTTTCTCAATCCACGAAAATTGGTATCCACGAAAATAAATGAATCCAAAGTACTCAATACAATTTAGTTGTGCTTAAGGTATAATTTTTTTTAAAACTTACTTTGTACTAGTTCAGTTGTAGTCTCAGAAGAATTCACAAAACCTGTTTTGTAAATATAATTTACAGGATCATTCAAATTTCATTTGATTAATGTAATTTGCCTACATGAAATAGTGAACATGTTCAAGATTATATTTTGACATTCCCAGTTATATAATTTATTTTTTAGTTATTGCAAAAAGTAAAACACTGACGGGTTAAAACGCAAACATAATATCTACAAGAGACATACAATACATGAAATAAGTGTTAAACAAGTCAAGTTAATATTAATAATGTATATATAAGTATAAAGATAATTGACCAATGTGGACCTTATTTTCGCAATTCCATGGATTGCTTTATACAGCCTACAACACTAGACAAAATATCTTTATTGGGATCTAAAATAGTTTTTAGTTTATAGTTTGAGTCAAGCTGGTTAAAATTATGATTATGGGTTTTAATTGCATTTATAAAGGGATTTCTAATATTACTGTTGATTTGGCAGGCAATGAAGAAAAAAGTGTTCCTCATCATCTAAAATTTTACAAACTTTACACACTCTGTGTTCTCTTTGAATTTTTTATATCGACCTATTTCAATTTCCAAGTTATGGCCACTTACACGGAATTTTGTTAAAAGTTGATGACTATTTTAATTGTTTAGATTTAGTAGTCATCCAGTTTAATTTCATTTTTAAGTTTACTATAAAGGTAAAGTTTTAAACTGTCATCGATATTTGAAAGCTTTTCAAGAGTGATTTTATCATAATTTTCTTTAACAATATGTTTAAAAGTGTTTTTAAGTGAATTTTTTATAAGTTTAAAAGGTTTATCAAAATCAACATATTTTTTTTCATCAATATCAAATTCTTTAAAAATGTGCTTGCAAAAGTGTACCAAGTATATATTCCATCTTCAAACATAGACTTATTTACTTTGGAAGCTTCTTGAACAAAAGGGTTTATTTCATGGCAGTTAATTCTACAAAAGTATGATAAAACTTGAGTTTTTATAAAGGAGTCAAGTGGAAACCGTCCTAACTCAGACTTTGCATCTATATTACATGAGGTTTTTTTAAATCCAAGAACAGTTTTACAAAATTTATGATGCACTTTATATAAGTTTCAATCATTTCCCCCCTAAGTATGGCATGTTTCTTTATGGTTTCTGTTAGTGTCTATATACACAACTCTTTAGGCCATGTCTTTACAAAAATTTGAATACAAGCTGTTCTTTACTTAGTAAATTCAAATACGTTATAAAAATACACTTGCATGTGCTACTTTTAGAGATAAGTGGGTTAAAATTTAGGACATTTACATGTACTCCGTTTTTCTAACATTTCTATCCTTTTGATTATTTGATTGATTGTTGCTTACCGTTTTTGATTGATTGTTGCTTAACGTCCAGTGGCAAATATTTCACAAATATTCAGGACGATCTATCCTTTTGACGGACATACATGACTTTTTTGTTTCAAAAGATAAACACTAGCGTATTTTTGTAAAACCATTTCAAATATCTTTCCATATAAGTATGCTCTAAATTTGACTAAAAATTATCCGTTTTTTTTTTGTTTTTTTTTTTCATTTTCAAGATTTTAGAAGAGGAAAAAACGTAATTTATTTTTGCTGTATCCTTATCAAATCATCGGTGAATTTTTCATAAAATTGGTACAATAATCTTCCTACATAATTATGCAATTTTATTAAAAAAGCAGGATTCCATGTACTCCTTTTCTAGCTAATGATTAAAATCAGTGGAAACATACATCTTTTCCAAATATGTCACATTTTGAAATCGCAAAAATAAACGTTAAATGACCTCAGTTGTAACTGTATCATATGCCCTTAACATATCATTTGCCTTGTTTATACTTGACCCTTGGCCTCTGTTTTATTAATTTCTACACCGTTCATTTTACGTGCATGTAGTAATAATTTTTCCAATAATTGCTTGCAAAAATTACAAAATATAAGACAGCAGACGAATCAATTTAACCTTTCAATATTACAATGAAACATAAAAAAAAACATACGTGTACAAAGCAATCTATTTTAGATAGTTCAATTGTAGCTTATCTAAGTTACATACATTTAAAGCTGTTGTCGTTTAGTAAGGGGTTAGTGCTTCCAGTTTCTATTATTTCAAAGAAAACTAAAAAATAAAATAAAAATAAAAATGAAAATATAAATATAAATACATACACATTGTAATTATACATGACTTGGTAAAAAAAAAATGCACTGAATATTAATTTGATAATGTTGCATGATTATCTATTACAATATTCATTTTCATGGTGATGATAGCACTGCAAGCAGTATTTATTCTAGTCTATCATTCAGTAGTAGTAATAGCATGTCAAGCAGTAGATATTTAAATCGTTCATTCTATAGTATTCTTTCAAATAGCAGTCATTCTAACCATCTAAGCAGAGATGATTATAGTCTTTCAAAAATAAGTTATTCTAGTCTCTCATCCATTTGTAGGGATAGCTTGGTAGCAGTATTTATTCTATAACATAACAAAAAGGCGAAAATAATAAGAATTTCACTCAATGACATACACATCGGGTAACATGAATGTTTCAAACTTTATGTACCACTAAAGAAGGAACAGCTTCCGACTATAATACATACTTCTTTTCCATGAACTAAGATAGAACTTTGTCTTTTCCGTCACATTCGATATCAACAACTCATTTTTGTTTTCGAATTCTCCTGAGACACGATCCTTATACAAAACGCAATAATTTGCAGTCCAACTGAACAAAGCCGCAATACAATTCATAGCAATTGTGCAGACGTTTGTACAGTTTTCCCAATCCTTTGTGTTGCCCTTTTGTATCATTTCAACATTATAACCGGAGTACGATTGAACAGTAACGTTTTCAAATACTACCGGTTCAATGAGTTCATCTAAGAAAAAGTACAACACATATATGTATTACTATTCCTTTTACGACAATGTTTGAGGAGTGAGATAAATTTAGAAAAAAAGTCAATATTTTTAGTTCGAAACTAACATTTTTTTTGCAGCAACACTTATTGTGTGCACACTTATTTGGTTTACTTTTATTGTGTAATCGAAAAAGGTTAGTGTTACACTAAGAAAGTACGATAATTAAACGTTTGCAATAAATGAGTCTTAGGCAAGGTTCACTACGTTGCCTATAGTATCATGCGAGTACTCTCAGATCGGTACGTACGGTCTTGTTTGTTGTGGGGATATATAAAAACCCTGCCACGACCCGTCTGTGTTTGTGTTAGTTGCTTTTCTGCTTTGTATCGATCTGAGTCGTTAAACCCTTTTCAACTGAATATTATCTTTTGTTCTTATGTTGTATTGTTACACCACTGTTCAGGTTACGGAGAAGGTTGGGCGCCAGCAAACTTGTTTAAATCCGCTGCATTTTTATGCACCTGTCCTTAGTCAGGAGCATTTTGTTCAGTGGTTGTAGTTTGTTGGTGTGGTTTATATGTGTTTCTCGTGTCTCGTTGTTTATATATATATATATATATATATATATTAGACCGTTGGTTTTCCTATTTGAATTGTTTTACACTAGTCATTGTGGGGGCCTTTTAAAGCTTGTTGTTTGTTGTGAGCCAAGGCCCCGTATTGAGGGCCGTACTTTGACCTATAATTGTTAACTTTTTATTCATTGTGACTTGGATGGAGAGTTGTCTCATTGGCAATCATACCACATCTTCTTATTTTTTACGACTGAATTTCTCTCCCCACTCATAATACATATATATCTACATTGTGACAGTCCAAATTTTCAATATCTATCGACATAGGTAGAAGTTCCTTCTTGTTTGTTTTAATTATTCATATTTTTATAGCCCTAACATGAATTCAAGTTTTAACAGTGGAGGTTAAGTTTACAGACATTTTGGTAATGGCCCTTCCTATGTATTTGTATTTGTTTTTAATATTTTTAGGTAAATATTCCTTGATATTGTAACTTATTTTCACTTATTCAATGTGTACTTGCTCTGATCCGTAGGATTTTACAATAACAGTAGTTAATATATGATGCCTATCTATTCGAGGGACATCATATATAAACTACTGGTATTTTATTCGAGGGGCATCACATATAAACTACTGTTATTGTAAAATATTATGGATAATAGCCAGAACCCATAAGTTAAGTAAAAATAAGATAAATATTCAGAAATTTTATCTAAAACCAAAAATTCAGCCAACAATAATGTATAGATAATGTGGGGATCCATTCCAATCGGAAGTGACTGCGTATTCATACATTGTACATCATGTACGACCAAATGGCCGCTTATTTTAGTAAGAGTTAAACCTTTGTAAGTAGAGGTCTATGCTGATCATATTACTATACTACAGACAAAATTTGGGATCCAATTCATAAAGTATTATTGTTAACATACTATTAAGTATTCATATAATTTCAATGACCGGTACGAATGTGAATTAAAATAATACTTACTAATAGACAAACATAAATACGGATGCAGGGCCATGCAATCGGCATATCCGAACAACAGTGTTTTGACAGATATGTTCAGGAAAACACACTCTCTTTTTCCGGGCAATTTTGGAAAATCCATGTAATCCAGATTAATTCGGTTACACGTGTCTGAATAATATAGATGTCCATCATATTCTGATTTGATTGCTCCTATCCAAACGATGGAATCATTTAACCTGTAATAGGAACAAAATTAGATTTTAGATTGACATTGACGAGACAAAACATAAAACTACATAACAAAAGAGAACAGACATGTTTATATAGATTAGACTGTTGGTTTTCCTGTTTGTATTGTTTTACACTAGCCATTTTGGGGCCCTTTATAGCTTGCTTTTCGGTGTGAGCCAAGGCTTCGTGTTGAAGGCCGTACTTTGACCTATAATTGTTTAATTTTTACACATTTTGACTTGATTGGAGAATTGTCTCATAGGCACTCATACCACATCTTCTTATTTCTATTAAACCTGGCATATTCGTTAAGTTTACAAATATAAAAAAAGTAGTTATTGCTATTAAGACAATTATCAAACGGAGACCATATGACGTATATTTTAGCAAGTATAGGTCACCATACGGCCTGAAACATTTAGCAAAACCCATTTTGCGTAGCAAGCTATAAAAGACCCAAACACAAAGAAACGATAAAATTTATGTACAACAATCGACGAACAAATGTGATAAACAGCAACAACCGACAACCACTGAATTGGCCGTACGGTGACCTTTTAAAGTTGCTTACAAGTCCTTGAGTATTTTTTGGATTTTTGTCTCATTGGCAATTTTACCTATTAGAATCTCTTTTTTTGTAATTAATTTTGTTTGTGACAAATATTAAAGTATGTTATGAATTTATCAGTTAAGGTAGATTCATGGTATACCGCCATCTTGGATTGTACTATTGCAGTTCACTATCAGTCTAGTTATTTGCCCAAATCTGCAAATTTGTAAACAGATATGCAATTTTATTGATTAGACTGTTTATCTATATGAAGAAAACTTGCTGATTTATTGCATTATTCAAAATATTTAAACAAATACCAAACATTTGTGTTTAAGAATCAATTTTTTTTTAACTAAGCCATTTAAGATAACTCTTTTAGTTACAAATTTTCACTGGACTGATAGGGAATTTTTTTATTTTTACTTGTAGCAAGAAAACAAGTTCGGTGACACCATTTTTTCTTTTTATTTTCTTAAAACATATTATAAAACCTATCTTCTCACAATTTATTTCAAAATTCTATCTCATAGATTTTTTTTTATGCACAAAAAAATTTTTTTTTATGATAATTCTAAGCAAATTTAGGCAATTTTCAACGACTCATAGCTTGAAAAATAGCACGGTGACCTATCATTTTTATTATATTTTTGAAAAGAGCATAGGAAAAGCTTCATTTTGGCAAAGTATAAGAAAATTCTATCTCGGGAAACACATACCTATGATCTACCTTAAATGAATCATAAAACCTACTTATCTGATGGTTGTGTATTTTCAGCAAAAGTTTTCAAAAGAGTAGACCTGTGGAGAAGATTAAAACCAAACTGGCAATTTATCGCTTCTTTTGCTGAATACCACGTGACTTTCTCTTTCACAGCGAAAATCGTAGCATTATTTTTCCAGCCTTTACCAGCTGTCATAAAGAATAAAATAAACACCAGCTTTAGTTATTGATACAAGATAAGAAATCTATACAAGCATATCCATAAACCATTAGTTTCAAATACCTTATAGAATAATGATACAAAAATATAGCATGTCCTACGGAGTTCGTGCAGTACAATTTAGCAGGTTGTAATATTTTTATAAAAATGCTGGTAAGCATGTTTAGCTGGTTTTCCTGTTTGAATTGTTTTACACTAGTCATTTTGGAGTCTTTTATAGCTTGCTGTTTGGTGTGAACCAAGGCTCCGTGTTGTAGGCCGTACTTTGACCTATAATTGTTTACACATTGTGACTTGGATAGAGAGTTGTCTCATAGGCACTCATACATCATTTTCTTATTTCTATCTTTTTATCGATTGACTCAAGAAACAACTTTTAATTTTAAGTATACTAGTATCCTCGACATAAAAGATACTTGTTGTATTTTGTTAATGAATTAAAATGCTAGATATTTTTTTATATGTTCATAGTTTAAATTTGGTACGGACTAGTACTAATTATTTCGATCTCCGATAAAACGTTTGCATGCCTTTGCCTTAGATTTAATAAAATGCTCGTGCATGTGGTGTCATGGAATCTTGGTCAAAATCGTCATCCGATTATTTGTATTTATTTCTTCGTATCAAAATCGGCAGCCATTTCACACATGACGCACTGTCGTGTTAGCTGTCAATTGATTAACGTTAATTTTTGTCACATTTTATCTTTACAATCCCTACTTGGAAATCATATTTGGAAAGACAAATATGTCTTCTAACTAATCAGTATCAATATTGTTCTCTATACTACTGAATAAATTTGTCTTTCAAGTTATCAAGGCGAATTTCCAAAAGTTTAATACAAAAAAAAATCTATTAAAATATTTTGTGGAAGAGTAGACTTAAAATTTGAAAGGTTGACAACTAATAACTACAAATAACATATAAACATAGATTGTTTTAGCTTGTACATTTTGAAGATCCAAAAGTTGAATATGCCGTCAAGGATTTATGACATTATGATATTCAAGAGGGTTCATATTGATGGTTTCCATCATACAGTGGAAAAAACAGAAATGGCAAAAAAAAAAAAAAAAAATCGGAACAATTTCTGAAGTTTTTTTTATGGAAAGTTGGAAACACCTGATGACAACACAGTCATCTATGATAATTGTACATGATTGTAATTCTTTGTAATATTAGCATTTAGATCTACGAAATACAAAGATATTTTTGTTGATGGTTGCAGTCTTTCATACTTTTTTTTGTGTGTGTCATAAATCAGGCCGTTGGTTTTTTCTCGTTTGTTTTGTTTCCCATTATATGACCTGTCGAAACCTTTTATACATGTAGTTGACTATACTGTATGAATTTTGCCTATAAATGAAGGTCGTTTAGAAAGTTATGATTGTGTGCATCTAAGTCATTTGAACTCTTGTGGTGGTTGTTTCATTGGTAATTACACACCATCTCCTTGTTTAACAATAGTTGTAGTGTTTTATTAAAATGTTTGTCTTTGCCCCTCTTTTACGAAGTCTTTAACAATAGAAATATAGTGCATTATCTTGTTTTTCAGTTCAGTTTCATAGATCATCCAAAGCTATAAAAAGTGCAAACTCGATTGCAAAATCACTATAAGTAAAACATATTATACCATAAACTGT